GAGAGAATCGTAGGCTTAAAAAGCCCTAATAAAGCTGCTTTTGTCCTAGGAAGACAACTCCTAGATAACTTTATTATTGCAAATGAATGCATACACTTCCTCAATAGTAAAAGGTTTGGTAATTCCTCATTTATGGCATTAAAGCTTGATATGGCTAAGGCTTTTGATAGGGTGGAATGACCCTTCCTTGCTGCTATTTGTAAAAAGATGGGTTTTTGTGATGTTTTCGTTTCTTGGATTCTCCCTTGCATTTGTTCATCTTCTTTCTCTTTCAACATTGATGGAATCCCATCTGGTTTTGTCAAACCTTCAAGAGGTCTCAGATAAGGACATCCCCTCTCCTTTCTCTTCATTATCCTCTCTGAGGCTCTCTCTAATCTCCTTCACTAAGATGCCACCCAGAACTCATTTCAGGGAACCAAAATTAGCAAAATTTCTCCTCCCATGTCCCACCTTTTCTTTGTCGATGGCTCAATCATCTTCTGTAAAGCTGATATCTTTCATTCTCTATCCATTGGACACTTATAGCCTTTCTTCTGGCCAACAAGTAAATCTTCAGAAATCATCAATATATTTCTCTAAGAACTCCTAGCCTAAAGTCATATTTGAAGTTTGCTCTCAGAAAATTAATAGCTGGAAAAATATATTTTCGAGTGAAGCTGGTAGAGAAACCTTAGTCAAATCTGTCATTGGGTTTTGGCATCTTTTGTCATGTCTTGTTTTGAACTACCTAAGTCCATTTCTCAAGAGATATGCAGGAAAGTGGCTGCTTTCTGTGGGGGGGCTAAAGAAAATGGGAAGAATAAAATCCATTGGTCCTCTTGGGAAAAGCTCACATTGCCTAAAGAGAGTGGTGGTTTAGGCTTCAAATGCTTAGAAGCCTTCAATGATGCTCTTTTGATTAAACAACTTTGGAGGCTCATTTCAAACCCAGATTTTCTAATGTGTAAGGTTACCAAAGGCAAGTATATATTTTCCCCACTCCTCACTGTTTGAAGCCAAACCAAAATCATCTCATTCTTGGCTCTGGTCTTCATGGTTGAAAATTAGAGGCTTGTTGAAAGATGGAGTGTGTGTCAGAATTTGAGATGGAAAAAACACCTCTTGTGGTAAGACCCCTGGATTGCTAGCTCATATGCTTTTTTTCATAAGTCTTATATCTCCGTTTTCCCTAGGGATAGACTAAACAAAGTTGCTGAACTGTTGAGTCTTGATGGTTCATCCATGAATGCTGAAATCATTCTCAATTCTTTACCCTCTCATGAATCAAATCTCATCATGCAAACTCCTCTTACCAGGAGAAATCAACAAGGCAAATGGATTTGGAAGAATACTAGATCTGGCATTTTCTCAATGAAATCGACTTACATGATGCGGTTGTTGCAGCTAAAGAACTTAACCCTTGCTCTTAAGTCAAGTAACTCTTCCTCTTGATTGTCTAAGATGTGGAAAAGAACCTGAAGTCTCAAGATAAAGCCAAAGATAAATAAAAAGAAAAATCAGCTCTAACAGTCCGGGAGTAAGACGGAGGAAAAATATAAATTTGATATCGTTACATTTTACAATAGTTTATTCACCAAAAATATTCTTCTTTTTATTCAATTTTCATGTTGTACGAGTACAATTTGTGAACACCTCCTCTGGAAGTGCTAAATATTATGAGCTCGAGAAGTTTCTGAAAAATATAATAATAACAAGAATATGATTATTTGGACTATTACACCAAGACCACTATATATGCCTCAAGAAACACTCAATTCCAACTAGTAGAAAAAATCTTTTCACATCAAGTGTCACATCGGTTTTTTCAAAATCGATGAAAAAAACACTTTTCACATTAGCCGTGACATTGGTTTTTACAAAACCGATGTGAATTGTCATCCGGTGCATCGGTTCTTACAAAATCGATATACACAATTTTGTAGGCAACAATGTTTACATTGGTCCTACATGTAACCGATGTAAAAACTATAATATACAACATTGGTTTAGGAAACCGATGTATGGCCTGTGCATAGGCATCGGTTTCAACACAACTGATGTGTGGGCCGGTTTATATAAGATGCATCGACTCAGAGAAAAAAAAAAGAGGAAATTGCATGCCATACTTTTATACTTAAAATATATAACAATTTTGCTCATCTTATATTTTGTTTTTTAAAATTACCTAAACAACCTAAAATATTTTCAATTATACCTAATCATCTCATTAACCGTTTAATAATCTTTTTAAATGTGATTGAGATATTTAAGGGAATTAAATATACACTTACCTAAAAAATAGCAACCAAAAAGTGCAACCAAAAAACTCCCCACCGCCCCACGTCTCCTTCATTCTGCAGAATTCATGTTTTCCTCCAACTGCTCCAATACTCCCAAATTTTTATCAAATCTCCTCGGCAGCAATCACCGGGAGAGGTCTTCTCCAAACTCTTCTCATTTTTTCGAGCCACCAAGCGCGATTGAAGCTGCCGAGAAGGACTCCACGACGAAGAACAGGCAGCCACGACGGGAGCGGGTTTCCGAGGACTAGGCCCTTGCGGCGAATCGAGCATCGCCGGCAGTTGAGTAGCATCAGGCCCGATCCGGATCCAAGTCTTTGTTTGATGTGGTTCATATATGGATTTATGGGGACCATAAATCTGATTCAGATAAGATTGATGTGGATCCTTTTGTTTGCGAAAGGGAATGAGTTGGATGAATTATGAGATTGAGCCTTTTTGTTTTCCGTTCAACTCTCCATTTCTCTATTTTGCTTTCTGTTCAATTATCAACCACTTGGAGCCTGGAGATTGGGGCTTTTCGTTTCAGTTTTTTTCAATCGGTGGACCTTTCTGGAGTAAGTAGAAGAGTTCGAGACGATGGAAGAAAAAACCAGAAATTGGAGACTGTGGGTGGGGGCCATGAATTAATCGGGTATATGTTGTGTATAATAGAGTATATGTTCGGTATAATATAAGGGCTTTTTTTTCTTGTATATTTCTTGTATGATTTGATTTTGCTTTTAATAATAACAGCTTTGAGCTTTTGTGGGTGTTTAAGAATTTGTAATCTTTGCACATATGCGTTGAAAATGTATATAATTCAAAGGTATATTTACAAAACCGAGTTGGGTATATGTTGGGTATATCCGAGTATCCGAAGTAACTTTACTCTGGTTATCTGTTTAATAATCCTTTTTTTATTGGGTTATATGTTGGGTATATCCGAGTATATCCGAAGTAACTTTTCTCTGGTATATCTGTTTAATAATCCCTTTTTTCTTTGGTTATCTGTTTAATAATCCATTTTTGCGTATATTTCCAGTAAAAAAAAGACATAATTTTTTTATTGTTCAGTATATGTTGTGTGTATATGGAGTATATGTTCAACATATTAGAAGATTTGTTTATATATAGAATATAAGTAAATGTTATAATATGTTTCTATATACTTTTATGTATAAAAGTAAAAAAAAAAAAAAAAGATATAATTTTAATTGTTGAAGACTTGTTTTTTATTGCACATATTCTGAATATGTACTAACATAAACTCAAAATATACCACCTGGTGGCTGCGTGAATTATAATATTGCAACGTACACTGAATATATACTAACATAAACTCAAAATATACTACCTGGCGGTTGCTTGAATTACAATGTACAAATTGTGTGAATTAAGGAATTAATAAATGAATCAATTATTATTTTTCTTTTTTCTATCTTAATCAAGTCAACAAAAAGGGGGATGGATGTTGAATATATATGGTAACTGCTATTGATGCAATCTCATAAATAAATTAGCTTCATTAGGTATAATTGAAAATACTTTCATATGAAGATAAATTTGAAAATTTTTGTATATCTTATAGGAGGACTAAAAATTTCCCTAAAAAAAATGATGTGAAGGTGGCCCAAAAATCGATGCCCAAAAAGTTTTATTTATGTATATATATCTTATAAATATAAAATTAAATTATTTATTATAATTTTTATTAATGTTTTAGATTTTATTTTATTTTAATTTTTCTTATTTTTTATGAATTATTCTTTTAGTTGTACATTAAAAGATTTAAATACTTAATTTTTAAATGTTATATTATTAACTAGATTATAAAAAATAAATAATTATATCTCAATATTTATTTAACTAATAATATAGAATTTTTTATAGTCAATTTATTGTCATACTTAATTAATAAATTGTTAGTTACATTATAATTAATTGTGAAATTATTTTATTTATCGTTTTACACATGAAGTGGGTCGGGTCGGGTCCGGTCGGGTCTGAGTAAAATCCAAATTTAATAATTTGGGTTACCCATTTACCCGACGAAGAATTGATAATCTTATAGGTAAAACCCGACCCGAACTTGAAGTTCACTTATCGGATAACGGGTCGGGTAAATTGTATGCGGGTTTGGGTTCGAGTTTGCCAAAGCCCGCTTCCTACCCAACCCGACCCAAATGTGAAGTTCTCTAACCTGGTAACGGGTCAGCTAAATTGCATGGGTTCGAGTTTGCTAAAACCCGCTCCCGACAGGTCAGCTAAATTGCATGGGTTTGAGTTTGCTAAAACCCGCTCCCGATCCGACTCAGGTTACATTCCTAGGTAAAACGTCTTGAAAGAACAAAAACACCATCCTTTTAATTTGCCAAACAATTTAGGCAATCTATCTAGAAATAACATAAGGCTCGTGTTAGACACCAGCAATAGGTTTTTAAATGATACACATTTTGTTAATTCTAAATGTTATGCGTTAAAACACAACATAAATAAAAATATAATATTCCACTTAAAGCATAATTATTTAACATATATAACTGGTCAATCCGCCTAATTAGAAGAAAAAAAAATAAAAAAAATCTGCAGGAGCAATAGATCACTCATGGAGATTCAATTTGTGCATCAGTTCTCATTTTCATTCATGACAAAGTGATTAATTAGATAAAAGAAAATTACTAAAAAAGCTAAGCAAGTTAAAGGTGTCTTTTATGGTGTTGGTAGCTATGTATAGTCCTAATGCAATGAGATGTGGTTAAGTTGAATGGAAGAAGCGGAGTGGCACGACCAGCCTTGTAGTCGTAAAACACGATACACGGCCACACCTAAAATAGCTCCGACTGTTGGGGCCACTACATATATCCACAAATGGTCGAATCTCCACGAGACCAGCGCGGGCCCTAGCGACCTAGCTGGGTTCATCGACCCTCCCGAAACTGGCCTGCATTTTCCAAACCCAACAAAAAAAATTAATACAACCACCTAATTATATTATTGATATATAGACATATATAATAATATCTAATGAGCATATATAAGAGTTGTTTTTTTTTT